AAATACATTTGTCCTTTGCATTTTGAGAATCCATTCTCTCATTTTTCACTTTTCCTCTTTGGGAAATTAGTTTATGTTTTATTTTTGCTCTCTAGATTAGGAGCTTATGCTATTTTCCGGGAGATTTTCCGGCGACTTCGGTTTCGTTCAAGTTTCGAGCTTTTGACTCTCTTTTTCATCGTCTACGCAATGGGAGATTGAGTATTTAATTTTAAAGCTCTTTACTTCGTTTTTGCTCCGGTTTTACTTATAATGTTCAATAGAGTAAATTGGATTTGATTGATGATGGTGGAAATGCTTGAACTTGATTGCTTGCTTGAGTAGACAGAGCCGTTAATTACTTGTTGATCTCGGTTAGACGACTAGGGTTGGCAATCTAATGCTCGTAGCTCGTTTATTCCGTATGTCGATTGATTATCATTCCGTATTGGTTATGGCATGAGACTTCGGTGATCTAGTTTGCGAGATGCTCGTCTTTTGATCTTGCTTTCAATTAATTGCTCATTTTTAAGTGCTCAAGTAGTGTTAATCAACCATCCAATCAATTGTTTAGAATGTTTAGGATTTTATTTTCGATTTTTGTGATTTGGACGATCATTTAGTAGACAAAGCTCTGAATAGCCTTCCTTCGAGATCGACCTGAGTCGGGTAGCTCGGTTATCCCTTGCCCATCAAATCTATACTAAAAAAATGGCGCCGTTGCCGGGGAAGGCAAGTAGGACGCCTAGTTTGCTATTTGATTGTCTATTTTTCTCGTGTTTCTCTTGTTTGTGTGATTTTGCTTAATTTCCGTGTTTTTCTTTATTTCTCTTACTTTTTGTTGTTTATTTGTTTTTGTTGCTCATGTCTTTTTTTCGCTTCCCATTGATACGTTCACCGGGAATAGTTGTTGTTTTTGTTTATACGAGGTAGACGAAGGCGTGTACCCCGAGAGGAGACTCCACCAATCGACCTTTTCATTGAACTCAACATAGACGAGCCTCAACCGGAATCCGAATCAAAGGCGAACCAAGAAGAACAACTTCCACAACCTCCCCCGAACATGAGGTACTTCGCACGACCTATCATTGGAGACAACACTTCGTGCCTCGTGCTCGGGGAGGCGGCCCGAAATTACGACCTCAAGACCATCCACCTAAACCAACTCCCATCATTCTACGGCTTAGCCCAAGAGGATGCCCTCAACTTCATCTGAGACTTTTATGCAACCGTCAACACGTTTACCCTCCAAGGCCTAACCGAGAACCAACTCTGAATGAGGTGCTTTCCATATACCTTGAAAGACCGAGCCAAGACTTGGTTCATGACATTTCTTCCGAGCTCGCTCAACACGTGGGAAGTCGTATACGAGAAGTTCATGAGCAAGTACTACTCCCATCAAAAGACCACCGACCTCCGGACTCAAATGGCTAGCTTTAGCCAAAATGTCGGTGAGACTTTCCACGAGGCTTGGGAACGATTCAAGGGCTATCAACTCCAATGCCCACATCACCACTTTTGCCTCGGTGTGCTCAACCAATTCTTCTACAATGGTCTCTACCAAACCCTTCAATACATGGTCGATCATGCGGCCGGTGGAGACATAGGGAGCCACACGGAGGAAGAAATCTACAATTTGTATGAGATGTTGAGTGAAAATTCACAAAGAAAGAGCGTTCGTAAGAGGGCCCCCGTGAATGAGGCTACACCATCAACCGGGTCCTCGAACGATGCCGTTCTTGCCAAGCTTGCCTCGTTAGAAGAAGAACTCAAACAACTACGGCTAAGAAATGCGAAGTCGACCCAAGTGGTGATGGCCGAGGTGTGCGGTTGTTGTGGAGAGGCCGGCCATGGAGGCCACGAATGTCCGAATTATATGGTGCCGACCTACGACCCAAATCTAGAAGGAGTTCCCTACGACATCAATGCTATTCAAGGGTACGCACCCCGGGTCCAAAACGATCCTTACTCGAACACCTACAATCCCGGGTGGTGAAACCACCCTAACTTCTCATGGAGGGACCCGAAAGCCACCTACCCACCCCAACCGGCACCACAACAAGTCTATTCCCAACCTCAACAATATGCTCCACCGAACAACCGACCACCGTTCCAACCGAGACCCGAATTCCAAGGCTATCAACCGAGGCCCGAGTTTCAAGGATATCCACAAGGGCGTGGAGGCTTCATTCCGAGACAACCTTTGCCACCTCCACCCGAGCCCGAGAGGAATGCTAACGGAGAGTCCTTGGATACCCGGATCGAGAGCCTAGAGAAGTGTCTTCAATCGTTGGCCTCTACCGTCTGTACTTTGTACGACACCGTCAAGGGAGTGCCCTCGATCCAAGCCTCTCTTAAATGCCTCGAAACTCAAATGGGGCAACTCGGGAGTTCCATCGGAGAAATCCAAAGGAGCAAAATGAAAGACAAGCTCCCGAGCCAACCTGAGCACTTGAATGCCATCACGGTCTTGAGGAACGGTAAGATGATTGATAATCGTGTGGCGATGCCCGAAAAAGATGAGGTTGTTGAAGTTGTTGTTGATGAGGATAATGATGAGCCGGGTGAGAAAGTTGATGTTTCGAAAGGGAAAGCCGTTGTTGACGAGAGGATTGAGAAGGAGAGTTGGAAGAAAGATGCCCGTGAGGCCTTGCACAAAGCGGATGAGCCTTACCGACCACTGGTTCCTTTCCCAAGCCGCTTGAAAGATACAAAGAATGAGCACCAATTTCATGATCTTTTTGACATGCTCTCGAAGGTAAACGTGAACCTCCCACTCCTAGATGTTATCAAAAACGTGCCGGCATATGTTCAATTTTTCAAGGACTTAGCTTTGAAAAATCGGAGGTTCGTGGATAATGAGAAGGTGATGATTTCTGAGGTAGCCTCGACTACCATACCTCGGAAAGAATGTGACCCGGGAGCCTTTGTCATGAAGATAACCTTTGGGAACGGAAAAATGATGACCGGGATGCTTGACTTGGGAGCCGGTATAAACCTCATGCCCTACTCGATCTACAAGCAATTAGGTTTGCAAGGGCTTAAGCCGACTCGGATGAGCCTCCAATTGGCGGACCGCACCTTGCGGGAGCCAAAAGGTATAATTGAAGATGTGTTGGTCAAAGTGGGCTCGATTGTTGTACCGGTTGATTTCGTAGTCCTTGACGTTGGAGATGTCCCGAACACCGGGAAGGAGCACACGATTTTGCTTGGTCGACCCTTCATGGCGACGACCAACACCATAATCGACGTCAAGGAGGGATGCGTCACTCTTTTGGTTCATGGAGAGATTGCTACTTTCACGATGAACAATGCCCGGGAAGCTCCACCCAAAGTTGGCCAATGCTCATTTATGGAGGATATCGACAAGGAGGTACATCTCAACTCTAATCTTAAATTATCTAATGAAAATGGTTTTGTAGGTAAAAAGGATGTGTGGGAGTCAGGAACGAGTGTTAATGATGGTTTTGAGGATAAACTTGGAGTTGGAGTGAAAGGTGATAAGTTGAAAGATAGTGATGGAGCTAGTAATGATGTGAAATCGGGCAAGAAAGAGGCGAGAAAGAAATCTAAATGTGAAGAGAAAAAACCGGGAAATAACCCACCGAGTTTGAATGATGATGAGAATGTCGGGGTTTAGAAGTTCACGAAAACCGGCATGAAGTTTATGAGGGGTGAGGAGTCGAAGAAGAATCCCCCGATATCCCCGAGGAGTAGGTGGGCGAATGTGTTCGACGACGAGCTCGAGAATGAAAGTGGAGGAGCTCGTCGAGCTATGCCCGGTTGATCATTG